ATTTTTCGCTCATGCGTGTTTATTTTCACATTCATTTTCTTCCTTTTGCAAAAGTCTTATTGCGAGTAAGGTAAACATCCCTGTGACCGATACATATCTAGCTACGTCCGGATATTTACATAAAACTTTGTTTATATCATTATTAATCTTAAATGCTTTTTTAAATATAATATTATAATTTACAATTGTAATCTTTGTAATATATTGTAACAAAAAATGCATTTGAGATTAATAATAAATTTTATGTAAGGGTCCGGGGGAGACATAGGTACAGTCTGATCACTGGGACATTTACTTTATATATTTTTGGCAACTTCTCTCTCCGTTTCATAGATTTACGCGTTTCATGCCGATGGAGAATTGTGAAACAATTAAAGTGAAACGAGGATAAAAAGTGTGTATGAGATCGTCGTCGTCGAGTTCGAATAGGCGGAATTCGAAGAGGCGTCAATGATATTTGTCGAAATACTCGCAGATTTCCGCCGATCATCGATTCTGGGTGAGGGGTTAATGCACCGCGATAGATACATCGCCAGCTCTCATAATACTTTGATATCACGTTGATATGGTTTCTCAGTACGCGACACGACGGCACTTTTCGCTCGCTGTGTTTATACGCGCTCGCGACACTGTTTACGTTTCTTCTGCGCACGTGAGAGCAGGTATCGATCTCGGATGGGACGTCGAAGAGATTCCTTTAATGAATCAACGGATGTGCACGTCTGCAAGGACGGAAGATTGTATCAGTGTGAAATTCCGTATGTGCGTTGTTTTATTAAGCGCTTAACAGCGACGATTCGTTAATAAAATGACAAAAGCGCGTTAAAAATACTCCAAATTATTTTTACAACCTTATCGAGATCCCTTCGCGGATATAATAACATATCACGTGACTAATTGACGCAGCAATATCGTTTTGACAAGTGCGACATAAATTTTATCTTGTGCATCAGACAGGTGGCCGCTACGGATATTTTAAAGTATCGAGGGATCAATATGGTGTGAGCTTTATTCATAAAAGGAAAATGAAAGAAAGCGTCATGACCGCGTGAGGTCATTCCTGGCTGACAACAATTCGGTTCTTACCTGCGGAAGTAATCAGAGTGATTTGTTATTATCAAAGAAAGCTTCATGAGCTGCTGTCCTTTCATGTGAGTATCACGTATCTTATACCTGTTATTTTTTTACAATATATATTTTTACAAACCTAATATAATTAAATTTAATATAAATAAGGCTCTGTGAGATTCATAAAACATATATTATAAAAAAAGCCTGTAAGAATCAACGCAATCATCATTGATGCAAAAATTATTAATTGTGTATATATTTAACAATAATTAATACATACAGGAAAAAATTGAATCGCATACATTTTGACTTTGTGTCTTCAGTGCGTATTGAAAAATGAAATAGTTGTAAAGTTCAGATCGAATCTTCCATTTATTGTAATCGAGTAAGAATCGAATAATTAAAATATTTCAAGTCGTCATTGTAAATTGTTAAAAATTGAAGTCGTCATATATCAAATATACTATTAACCCGTAAATATAATATCTGGGTACAAATTCGCACCAGTAAAATTTCCAACTTGTAGGTATTTGAGAAAATTAGTTTTTTGCTTAACACGCAGTTTTGAATGAATAATGTTTCGTTTTTCGAAAATTCAATATTACTAATTAATTGATTAGAAAATTTTACATTGAAAAACCTGGGTTTTACTTTAATTTCGTGTTAAAATTCATTGAAGTTAAATAAATAGATAGAAGACATAATCGACGCTCGCAACGCTCATGGAATCATTTCATTCTTGTTGTTTATCTTTATTTAAATGTTAACAAGGACAAATAGTCCCGCGAGCGTTATATGAGCGCCAAATGAAATGTATTCGAGGTAATGCGCGAGAGAATAAAAACTCTAGGAGAACATAAGAAAGTTAAAATAAAATAGATTTGTTTTTTATTCCTGCACTAAACTGCATTACAATTCTCTTTCTCGCTTTCGCCAAATATTAAACATATACTTATCTCATTTTAAGTTCCAAGTGTACACTAGTTTAGCTACAAAAAACAGACCCAATGTCGTATTGACTGAACCATGACAAAAAAATGACATAAATTCGATCAACAATTGATCAGTATGACGTCAAACATTATTTTGACTTTCTTGTTCTCTTTGGAAACTCTTACAGCTATCTTTATAATATTTGTAATATAATTATATATTTCTTTCACATTTAAATTATATAAGCATTCTGTATTATATATACGTGTCTATATAATATCTTATTACTCTAAAAATATTATTTTTTATTAAAATACTTTCATGTATACATAAATTTTGTAAATTAGATATATACATCGTACTTACATTCTTTTTATACATTTATTTATTTAATCAATAGTGTCAAGCTCTATTTTGCAATGCAATAAATTCAATGACTCACTTAATCAAAATTTAACATTGGACTCTATTTTTTCGCTATTGAACGAAGAAACAGTTATTGAACAATTGGGCTGAAGAATATCATTTAATATGTTCATTCATCATGCAGGCTTTGTAGTCACTTGTAATTTAATTCAAAATTATATGTATTTTCATGCGTAAAACGATTTTAATTGCTTTTAAAATTTGACCACGTATTGACAATTAATGTAAAACGATTTATTATAATAACGTTTGTGTCATATTATATTATTCGATTTTTATGTTGGCTGATGATGACTAAGTCGAAACGTCCCTTACAAGATATCGTATTGTGAAAACTAGTATACTTTTTACAATTGGAATAAACTAGTTTTATAATTGTGATCTAAATTTGCTCTAATATTGACCTATTATCATTGAATTTATTGCATTTATTTATTTATTCATTCATTTATTTGCTTATATATTTATTCTTTTGTAAGATCAAAAACAAAGTGTCGAATCGGTTGAACGCGCTAGTGCGCATTAGTGCATATTAAAGCCGTTGTACACTGATTTAATTTATGTACAAATAAAATGCAAATATTTCGAATTATAAAATACAGATTTTACTTAATAGCAATAAAATGTATATATTGAAGATTTCATGGTTCAATCCATTTTTTAAATATTTACATTAAACACACAATTTTACGTCATTTTGTGTACGACACCTTTAATGTATACCAGTGTGAACTAAGTGCATCCAATTGAATTCACTATTACTCAAACAATACGAAGTCTAAAAAAGGACACAAGACGTCTAACGTCTTCAAGATAGCTTTAACTGTTTCTTAGATACGCAAAAATGTTTTAAGATGTCTTATTATCAGACAGACCTCCTGATTTTACGCTTTATGTTGTCTGTACATTTCGAAGCTTCACGATTAATACTCTGTCTAACATCGAATTCGAGAGATCATTTGTATGCGACTCCAAGCAGTAGGTGGAGCACACACGCACGTGCATCCACAAGTACAAGCGCAAACATTATTTTGCCGGTCGCTGCACCTTTCAGACTGCGCAGTGGAGACTGTGGAGAGTTCACGGGTTTACACGGCCGTGCACGCATGTTTCTTTATGCCGTTGTGCGATACATGGCGCGTTGCCTATTTCTCTCACACTCTCCTCCGTGATTCAACCTCGCGTTTGCCGTCCCTCCCGCTCTTACGATCTCCAGGACCGTATACATACATCATCGTCGAAAAACTTGCTTCCAAACTCATTCACATCCACAGACAGAATCAAAATTATATCCATTTCTACCAATGTAAATTAATTTTAATCTCTACCAATGTAGATTAATTTTAATTTAAATTATACTTTTTACTTTTTTTAGTTAGAGAATTAAAAAAAGATAAAGGATAAGTTAAACCAATTGAGATTATTAAGACTTAAGAAATGACCGTATATATGAATACATCAAATAGAGAACGTCAACACGGTCAAAGTTGGATGTTTCGAATAATATATATATTCTTTATTAAATCGATTTATTTCAGATATGATTGCGCGTCGATAATTTTTCGGACTTTCAACTCCGAAAAATTATCGGCGCGCAATCATATATTTGAAATAAATCGATTTAATAAAGAATATATATATTATTCGAAACATCTAACTTTGACCGTGTTGACGTTCTCAATTAAAATTAATTTAGTCGCGGACTAAGCGCACGGTGTAAACGTAGCCTTTGTTTAACTTACAGGATAAACAAGGACATCTATTGTATAGGCCGCGGCCTAAATGCACGGTGTAAATAAACGTAGCCTTTGGCCTATACGATAGATGTCTATGGCTATGTTTACACCGTGCATTTAGGTCGCGGCCTAGACAATAGATGTCCTTGTTTATCCTGTAGGTTAAACAAAGACACCGTGCATTTAGGTCGCGGACTAAGCGCACGGTGTAAACGTAGCTACTATACAGGATAAACAAGGACATCTATTGTATAGGCCGCGGTGTAAACGTAGCCAGTGAGATCAGCGGTGAGCCGCGGAGTGCGGATGACGAAGTGAACGCGCGCAGCTGTAGCTGGCTGTAGCACGAACGTGAGTCGCTGCTCGCTGCAGCTGATGCGGCTCGCCGCGCCATCCGCTGACGTTGTCCTGCGCGTCCGTCTGTGTTTTGTTTGAGAAAAATGCTCCGCGCTTCTCGGAGATTCGACGTCGTCCCCGCTGATTTCGCGCGATCAGCGCCCGTGTGTGCGTAACGCGCGGCGATAAGACCTCGACCACGATCGAGGCTTCCTCAAAAAAAAAAAAAATAAAAAGTATTCGGCCGAGGGATCCCCAGCTTTTCTTTGTTGCGAAAAAAATCCGTCGCTGAAAAAAATCCGTCGCGTCAGTCCGTGATGCGGCGCGCGGAATTCGATGTCGCGTGCGTGAATTCGTTCCCTCCGCTCATCCGGGTGATGGAGCGCGAGGAACGGAGGTAGACAAAGGGCCGAAGACAGGCGCGAACGTCTCGCTCTCGTCATCGCCGTGGTCCGAGCGTCCCGGCGATTTATTTATATATCCGCGAGACATGCGGCCGTTAACGTAGAAAACGCGTCGCTCGCTCGCTCGGAAACGATCCGCGTTTCCGAGGGCTCTCCGTTTGCGAGGAATTCCGATTTTCGGAATTGATTCAATCAAACACGCTCGGGGTTGTCCGTCGCGATTCGACGACGCGGTTGTGATTTCTTCGTGGATCTTTCTCTTTTGTCTCGGGAGACAGAATCGATGCGTTAGCCCGACATGTCCACGATCGTTGGATTCTTCAGGATTACCGAGAAACCTCGAGTAACAGGGCTATACGTGCGTTGTTGACGGTGGAGCGGATGGTGGAGCGTAGACTTTAGAGCGGCGACTAGAATATATCCATTATGGAAGCGTTGCGTTTAGCTATACAGTGAGTGCTACTTTTTCGGCAGATGTATCTCGTGATATATTGTTTTGATCACGCTCATGCAACAAGCGATTGATCGTAGACTGTCACTGAGAGAAACGATCTATACGGTTATCAAAAACGTATTTTGTTTTAGCTTATTTCCAGCAATATTTTAACAAAATTGTGAATAACAGAATGTCATTTTTAAATGTATTGTTTGTCTTAATAATTATAAATTGATACGTAAAATGTTTTTTTTTTTACAGAAATTTTTACCTTCATGTGCAAAAACTTTTGCAAGTCTTGAAACAAGAAGTTATTTTTAAACAGATCATTGATTATACAATAATGATTATGTATGAATTATGTATATTTTTAATTCATTTTTATCTTAATTATACTTTTAGCATACATTATGTATATTATATATATATATTTTTTAAATATTATTTTTTAATATTTTATGTGCTACGATATTTGAATTGTGTTGACTTTAATTTGTAATTTTTATTGTTTCTTTTAGGACGCGGCTTGGGGAGAGGATGGTCAGCATGAGCTCCATGCTCGTAGAGACAGTCAGTATAAATTATGAAGACTTTAATGAGAGTTTTTTAACATGTGGCACCTGTCTCTGTGTTTACGATGGCAGCGAGCATACACCTAAATTACTACCATGTTCACACACGGTATGATTTACGTATAGAATAAAACATATAATTATATATACTTATTGCACATATATATATCTCGATCTTATATATCTTGATAATCTTATCCATTTATAGGTATGTTTACATTGTTTAACAAGAATTGCTGCGTCTCAAACTCGAGAGACAGGAGCATTTAGATGTCCCATTTGTAGAGAATTAATAACTATTCCTCGTGGAGGGGTACCTGCACTGCCCCCGAGTTTTCTCGTAAATCAACTGCTGGACCTTATGTCTCGACAAAGACGAGAGGTATGTTTGAGCAGAATTGTCAATTTGTTATACAGATAAATTTTTTTTCTTAAAAAGTCTCAGTATCATTGTATCTATTTACTTGCAGGTCATCCCAAAGTGTTCAGTTCATATAAATCAGGAATTATTATTTTGTGAAACATGTGATACAGTGTTCTGTACAGTATGTACTAGTGGGACACATGCAGGAACGTCACCTGGATGCACAGAACATACAATTATCCCTTTTAGTATTGCGATAAAAAGAATGTCCGAAATATTGCTGTATAAAGCTAATGAGTGTATATCCAAGGTGAAAACTAGTTTTTCTTTTTTAGTTTTTAATTATGTTTTATATTAATAAGTTAATATATTTTTTTAATGTGCTTTATTCTTATTTTTTAAATATTATATACTTATTTTTATATGCTTTATGTGTCTGTTGATGTAAATGTATACCTAATGCTTATATCCAAAAAACCATTTGAAATACAAGTATATCGTTTATAATTTAAAATTTTTTACAAAAATATCTTATAATAATTTTTGTAATAGTGTTGCTTAATTTTTACTATACTTGTGCGTATCAAATAAGACTTACAAGTTTATACTCATACACACACACACATATACACAATAAGATATATATGTAAGCTTGATCTTTACTGAGTTAAGAGTTATGTTTTTAGTTAACACAGGCACAAGATTCTGTGAGCACGGAACTGCAACGTTTGGAAGCCTCTACGGAAAAATGTTTGAGCGCAGTGGATACGGAATTTGCTGAGATCATCGCAAAAATAGAGAAACGTCGCACGGAATTGCAAGCTGCTGTGACCGCTGCTGCTCGTGACAAGAAACACGTACTTGAAGAACAACATTCTCTTATTGAGGCAGAAAAAACCAAAGTGGAGAGAGAGTGCGAAGGATTACAATATCAGGTATAGGATAATAAGAATATATTGATATAACGTTACTTCTCGCGCGTATCATTTTACAAGTGAGATTCAATCTTACAGGTCGAGGTCCGAAATATTACTCAACGTATTAACAGCTTGTCGGATCAACTTGATGCAGCAACCGCTCTCAGCGAACCTAAAGAGAATGCCTTTATTTTTTTTTTTGACGCTCTCTTTCAATTAGAGCAAGCATTGAGTAACGTGGGACGAGTACGTTCTAGTACAACATTACCAGGTATCTTAAAGATTAATAATGTAATAAAGTTCTCTCGCTTTAAAAAAAGTTACTCATTTATTACAATACGTCGTGTGTTTCTTCTGATGTCATAATTTAACATCAAAATATAATATGAATCAGATGCTTTAAAGGCTGTTATAATACGACGTATTTTCTGTATGCCTTTTACATCAGGTTTGTGCCGAGCCAGATTGAAGGATCTAGCTATAATAAAGCTACAAACGATCGTCGTAGTCGAAACGGTAGATTATCACGGTCATCCTCGAAATGTCGGTGGTGATCTTATTAACGCCGAATTAACGCTTGCTGATAATATGCATGCAGAAAGTCAGAATGCTCCTATTGAGACAGAAGTGAAAGATTTGGAGAATGGAACTTACGAAATTTACTTCCGGCCACCAACTGCAAGTCGATATGTTTTGAAGGTGTCGGTGTTCGAACGACCTATTAAAGATTATCCGCTATTTTTCGATACGACTGAGCATAATGAACCTATTAAAACATATGGAAGACGTGGTAACGGAAAAGATGAGTTTCACCAGCCTGTTTCAGTCGCAGTGGACGATGAAGGGATGATCTATATTTTAGATACTGGAAATTCTCGTATTAAGGTTTGTTTGGAACAATATTGAGAACATGGTACTTTACAAAGTATTTAATTTTTTTCATATTGCTTCAGGTACTCAATTGTGATTTGGAGTTTCATAGGCACATAAACAATGAAGGCTTAGAGGGTCGCAGTTGTACGGGAATAGGTATATCTCAACAAGGTCTCGTAGTCGTGAATTGGCGAACGCGAAAGATTACGGAAATGACTTCATTGGGTGACACAATCCGATCTTTCACGCATAACGCATTTCAAGTTAGTAATTTTTATCGCAAACACGCACAATGCACTTAAATATTTCTTAATTGTAACGTTGTCTTTATGTTCTAGGAACCCATAGACATTGCAGTGGACAAGAGTTATGGGCACATACTTGTCGCTGACAACGGTCAAAGCTGTGTATTCGTATTTGACTCAGACGGGAAGATACTATTCCAGGTTAATTTTTGTTTACATAAATACATATATAAATTTTCACTGCAAGTTGTTTCGTATGGTCCTCGTATAGTCATCACGAAACATTAACAGGTTGGTAAGAGAAGCACGTTCAAGCTAATCAGTTCTGTAACTGTCGGTCCGGCCGGTGAGATTTTAGTTGCCGATAGCAGAATTCAAGTGTTTTCCGCAAAGGGAGATTTCTCCGAAGAAATATATCCTGAGGGCAAAGGTAAGTTTTATATATAACTATATATTTGTTTGAAATATTGTTTAACTGAAAATGAATCGAAAGATATACTATTGCTGCGACATACTATACAAAAATAAGAAACATTTTATCGTGTAACGAAGATAATTTTAGCATATCTAATTTATATATGACAGGAAAAGGTATCTACGGAGGAATAGCTGTAGATGCAGATGGCAAAATTATCGGTACTCGTACAGACAAGGGTCGTAGCATAATACAAGTTTCAAAGTTAGGGGGAGGTAATATCTTAACCGAAATCGATTCACACAGCTCGAAATTGCGACGTCCCTCAGGCATAGCTGTGCTGCCAAATAATCACCTAGTGGTGGTGGACTTAGGCAATGATTGTATAAAAAAATATAGGTACTGGTAAAAAGTCATTTGTTTAAGCATCAAAATTCAAATCGCGGACGGGAAGAAAACTCATTGCGAAGGTACCAAAAGTCAGTCTAATTTAGAATTATTTATTCAGGTTTTTGTGGAACTTGTAACATCACATATTACGAATGTAATGCCTATGTTTTTATAAATTTTTATATATAATTTATAAAAATTAGTATAAGATATGAGATAAAAAATAGTAATGTCAAACTTGACATTAACTCTTTCTCTACTATTCTGGGTATTTCATGTCCGATCGATTTCTGTTGGAAACGGATCCGACGTTTCTTAATCTCTCTTAAAAAAGTTTGTATTGAAGGAGATATCGCGGTGTGGCGACCGCGGCTGTCACATTTTCCTGTAAACAGCACGGAATTTTCTGCATCACTCATTTTTGTATACTTCAAAAATTTTATTTTTTGAAGAATTTGAAGTTCTTGCATGTTTTTTCAAAACTTTATATCTCACTTTTATCCGACTTATGATTTCTTTTATGACTTCTTCGATAATTATATTATACTACTGAGATAATTAAAATTTAAAAATAAAGAATGTATATTATATTCATAACATCTAACTTTGACCGATCATTGGCGCTCTCTAACGTATGTATGTTGTACATTTACACAGTCGGATCTTAATTCTTATTATATTATACTACATTTTATTATTTTCCAAAATAAAGTTTAAACATTTGTTCTACAAAATTAAAAGTATATTTGTAAATTTTTAGAGATTTTTTAAACCATTTTAAATAGGTGAAAAAAATGAACGGATTCGAGATATCCACGATAATAGGAATGAAGCATCGAATTGAGATAAGGATTGTCAAAATAAACTTGACATTACTATTTTAATTTCGATTTGCTATATATAGTACTATATATATTACAGTTTATAGTTTGCTTTTTCATCTAAACTTATTTAATTTCTTTGTGTTCAGTGTTGCTTTCTCTTGTTTTCTGCATATCTGTGGGAATACAAAGTTTTTACCATTCGTAAAATAAAGTCACTCGAAATGCTCAGTACTTATGTATATATACTTTTTATATTTGATAATTTTTTTAAGTCATTGCGATTAATATTTAATCGTTTGAATGCATAAAACAACTTTGTTGTTGATGATTAATCTGGATACATCGGTGGATGATAATCCTTTCCCGATTTTCTAAAATTAAGCTTAAAAGTTGTATTTGTCTTCTTTGCACATCAACCACACATTCATATATGACAATTGCAATTATAATTTATCATATATTGAATGTTGTAAGAAATAATATATGCAAATAATAATTAATTTAATTATTCTAAAATTGTAATCTAGGTGCCACAGAATCTTCAATCGGAAAATGATCTTTTTCTTTTTATTATTACTGAATTTAAAAAGATACTGTACACAACCAATAGAAGATCAATGGCTTTAACGGTCTAGCTGGATTTTAAGTGCTTGTATAATTCTATGTGAATTTATGTACTACGTATGTAGTCCTTTAAGCCGCGCGCCCCGAAATAATTTTTCGTCACTGAATATCGCAGCAATGCCACAAGTTTTAAATTGACTAGCAATTTAACAATGAAAAGATACTGTATTTGTCTCATTATCAAATTTTTTTAAAAATATCAGTAGAACGCTTTTTTGTATTAATAAGTTGTTCAATTACCGCCGTTGTCAATTATTGTTTGACATCTCTGAGGTATACTTTCTACCAATTTTACATAGTGTGTCTAATAAGAGCGTGACAAACTTTTATTTGGGAATTGTTACATCAAAAACTTTTTAACGAGTAGATAGAAATTTTTCTCCTACGACGCATTATATGGAAAGTCTTAGTTATTGTGCGATTTTTGCCAAAAAACGACATAAGTATTTAATAATGAGTGGCTGCGTACGCTAAAAAATTCGAAGCTGCTTTTCTTTTCATGCACTCGAAAGGACCGAAAATGTCATAGGACGTGGCTGCAAAAAAGTCCAAGGTGTTTGTAAACAAGTGGATAAAATAGTATGAGTATGAGGCGGTAAAGTGGTATGAAACAATAAGGGCCGATTGTTCCAATTTCTTGATAAATTTTACCTGTTAGATAAGATTATCCAATCACGTGCGCGGATTGCCAGATTTACCTAACAGGTAAACTTTACCAAAAGATGATACAATCGGCCCTAAATACCGTTGATGATTTGTCGAAAGTTATATTGCGCTCTTCTTAGACAGACTGTACAAGCACAAGTTTATCTAACAATAAGATAAAATTGAAATCCAGTTACAAGAATGTTTATCCTATAAAACAAAGTAATAAACATAAGTAATAAAAATAAAATTAAAAAAGTAAATTTATATTACTTTAGATAAAACTTGTCTTTAACTATCTTCTTTTTATCAAATATTTTAATTAATATTTGCAATTGATCGATTTAATGCTTAGACAGATTTTTCAATTGGATATATTATATTTTCATAACAGGTTTAATTTTTTCCTTATCTAATGTATTTATAAATTTTGTAATTATTATAAAAAGATTATATCGTGGCACTAGATTATCAAAATAATCTGAACAACTTGTCTTGATTTGTTTCAGGAGAGTATCATTATTCGCAGATGTATAATGTTATATAGAAGTATTATATATACACTGCCTTTCTATTATTTTAAAATACATTCTTTCTACGATAGAATGCAGAGCTTTGCATTACGTAAAATCAATCATATGAATAGCTTCATCATATGATTGCTTGGATATCATATTGTTGAGATAAAAAGGTTTCAGTAAACTATATGAGCATCTTCTTTAATTAAAATCATGAAAACATTTTTTTAAATTTGTGAAACTGTTAATATTTTTAAATTATTTCACGTTTTATTCATTCTATCTGTCACATTTCTTACACTTTATTTTTTCTTTCTTTTTTTCTTCTATTTTATTTTCATAGCATTTATTACTTGCAAAAGTTTCTTGTTTTCCTAACAAACAAGAAATTCGACACTACATGATTTTTAATAAAAAACCTAAACTATAATTAGTGTAAGATAGCTACGCAAATAACTAGAAATATGATAAAAGTTGTACATATATCTTTTCAGTATTATCATACATTTTGATAGAATTGGCGACATGGTTTGTTTATATAGAGATGTTTCTTAAATTTCGTGAAAGACATGATTCTTTCAACAATGACTCACTTTTTTGAAGGCCTACAGTATCACCATAACTGAATTTGTTATTAAAAGAACAATCTCAATTTTTATAAATTTCACCGTTCAAATGGTTTCATTGTTGAAACGTGTGTTTAACAACATATACATTGTTTAAGTTACTTTGGATAAATTATGAGGGACTGGCATGAAAATTTAAGCAGGATTTATTGCGTCGCTCTTTTTCGTACATCCAGAAATATCCAATGCCCGTCTGAAAACTATGATTACAATCATGAAGTATTAGCTAAATATCATCATGATGCATATCTACTTATCCTTCGATACTTACTTCTTGACACTGAAAGTGATAAACTTACATACGTACGGCTTACAGTCTCTATCTCAAAAAGCAGAAGATTATTTTTTCACGCAACATACTTATATCCACATAGAATCAATTGATTATTTTTTCACGCAACATACTTATATATATATCCATATAGAATCAATTCTTGAAAGAATTAGTCTTAATATTTTTATGCCATTTTATCTTTTATGTGACTTATACGAGTTTCATTTTTTAGAATCGTTTGCCATGTTAATATCGACGAGAATTCTTGTTATATCGTGAAAATTTTTCTTGGAATATGCAAAGCTATGTTGAACCTACATGACATTGCAATTTAAATTTTAATGAAAATAGATAATGATGAGTTTTGCGGTTTGCATTTTTGCAGCGAATGCAAAATTTTTCAATAGCTTCCTATTTTTCGGATTGTTTCGTAGAGATACGACATTCCTTGTGAACTGCTTTGCAGAGTGATCTATCATAGGCTACATTTAATATAAACCGTCGCATATTGCTTGTATGTATGTATGAATACGACGAGTCACTATAAAATGCATTATCACGTTAGTCCTTAGCGAAAAGCATAACAGTGCCTTTATTGAGAAGATGCCATCGTACAGTTTATATCTTACGACGATTGATTCATATATATATATATTTTTGTTCAAATTGATCTGTGTATGCGCTTAACACTTTGATCGTTACGAATCATATCTACATTTTCTTGGGAAGTATGACGTTTGGAAAAACGTATTCTTCACTCACCCAGATAGTTAAACCTGCCAAGAGCATGTATTGTAAACTGTGTATGTGTGTGTTGCATATAAAAGGCTGTGTTTCAAAATTCATTGTCAATGCTGAAAATCTGTAGTTACACTATTTTCGTTACACTATTTTCAAATTTTCAACATTTGCAGTTTTGGAACAGAATCTATGTTAACAGAACTTCAGCAATAACCAAGTATAGTCTACTGTCGTTTCTAATATCGATAGAAAAGTATCAGAAATCGAAGCAAGCCTTGCATTATGATATTATGATGGCAAGGTATACTCCATTCCTACTGTATTTCTGTTATATTACGGCTGACAAATCGTAATGGTAGAAACCAGACTTTTAAAGAGGACACAGTGAACAAGAATCTATTCTAAAATCATGATCAAATTGGCTAGCATTTTGCTATTTGGGTCAATCATATAAGTGATGAATGAGAATTAAATGAAAAAAATCATGTTATTCCTAATATATAAATTCAATTCTATAATTCCCAGTAAGAAATATGTTCACGTATGTACGACGTAACGTTTCAAAGTGTTAAAATGGAAACGGAATTGCAGATCGAGAATCAAATTAGAACTTTCGTCGCAGTGATCTGTATCGATTACGCAACTATACAATATAGACCTATATTCCGAAATTTCTGGTCCTATTTGTTATTCGACGTATCTAGAGTCATTGAGAACGTAACGCATTGAATTGTAACGTGAAGGTGTGTCATTTTATTCAAAGTCTGATCCTAAAAGCTAAGCCTGATTTATATTGTACGTCAACGTCCTATTGTTGCCTAAGTGTCTATCATAAGTAGCATATCAATTGATTCAGTATCCGTTTTCCCTTGTTTTTTTTTTTTTAATATATAAACCATTCAGCCACCCATCGCAAACACCATGCAAACTCAGACTGATATATATTTCTTGTTTGTATTTTTTGATATTGTTTAATCTAGTCATACGTCAGCTATAACTGTAACACTTATATATCATGACTCTATCATGCTGTAATATAAAATACATTGTAAATAAATATGTAAGCTTGATTCACCTAGTGGTTTTAATTAAATACAATACTTGAAGATAAATTTATTTTCCCGTCAAGAGATAATAAAATTCAATGTCACGTTTTTTTAATTCCTATTTCTCAACTTAGGGTATATTCCAAAACGTTCTCTCCAAGGGAAATTTTCAAAATATATGATATACGTAACGCACACACATATACTATACTATATAGGATCTTTAATATATAGAAAATATTTCTATAGTATATATATATATATATA